AGTTTATTCATTAATTTACATCAGAGTGAAATAGCGGAAGTCTTACAATAACTTAGTTTACAAACCAGTTGTTTCAAATCTTACAAACTAAGTATGATTATTATTACGAACCATAATAGTGGAGTAGCTTAGTAACATAAAATAAAACACACAATAAAGTGTCCTGCACAAGGGCCACACATTTACTTGTCATATTCGATTTAAAAAACAGTCATGCAGCACGGTCCAAAGCAAACCTGTTCATGAGACTCATCTGCAACAAGGGTTAACGAACCATGAGTACAAAGTACTCAACAAGACTTAACCAAAGTAAAAACTAAGAAGACTCAGGAATGCAGGCTCAGGGATTCAAGGTATGGCTTTACCAATAAACAAAGTTTTTTTTCGTAAAAGCTTTCTAACAAGATTCTTTATTTTAACATTTATATCTTCAAAAAGATCATATATGAATCTGCCATGATCCGTATTGAGACCATGAACTTCATATCAAACTCTTTCTCAACATGTACTCAAGTTCCATTTATTAACTACGATAATCAACAGTGAGTTGAGTCTCCATAGCCGAGGAGCAACGACAATTCGATCCGATTATAACCCAGCTGGGGATTCCCAACCACACGACATATGCAGGTCCCTGACCTACATATACCAACCTACCCTCAGGTCCTCTAAAACAAGAACGGGTCCGCGCCACCCGAGAGCACAGTACTCCACCAATCCAGCCCATTGCCACGTGGGTACATGCTACTCTCACCATCTCTCCACTCCCAATGCACGAGTAGCCATTCTCGTAATAGAATAGCCAAGTTAAGGCTTACCGGAGTATGTGGTCAGTATTACAAAGTCTCACCTCATGCAATTCAACAACGGACGGTTCTTAATCGACACAGGCGGAAAGAACCCGCTCATAAGACCTCTATGTCATGTGGCTCTCACACACCGAGTCTCTCCGGTCTAGATTTATTACTTCACATGCTCATATCTCATAATAACATAAATAACCAGTCGTATCAAAAAACCCTTTCATATCTCACAGGTGACAGGTAATCATCCGACTTTTATCTGTCTAAGCATGGCTAAGCATAATTAGGCATATTCAAATTTTAAAACTGGTAACAAGGTTGATATGAAAAAACAAGGTTGGTAATGCACCAATTAGGTTTTCACTCAACTTCTAATCACTTAATGTAGTACTTGAAAGTAAAAGCGATATAAATTTGTAAAACACAAGGTAAGTTTAAATGTATCCGGGGCTTGCCTTGATTGTCGGAAAAGTCAGGTTCCGGAGATGTTCCATAGATATCAAACCCGACCTCAACAGTTGAATTAACATCCTCAACAACTTGGTTGACTACCACGTTCTCGCTTTCGTTCACTACACGAGGTAACAATGCCATGTTTAATATAATGCGAGATATAAAACATGATGCTTGACGATGGACGCAAAAGTTAATAACTTGAATACAACTTTCCTTCGCGGTACAGTTACAAGCCAAAAACTAACTAAACCTTTTCATAAACTCAAATACTTACTTTAAGTACCAAGAATTATTTTATACTAATGATCCAAGGTCATCATTCAACCCAAAATTCAAACAAAACATAAGTCATTAAGGTTTACTATTTGTTTTTATGAATTAATTATTTAATTCAAAATTATGAAATAAATCAACTACTTCCAAATGAGCTTAAAATTTTTGTGAAGGCTCATAACATGATAACTAAGTGGCAAAACAAATTTCATAATTTTTGAATAATTATTTAAGCCTATAAAAATCATGAAAACCCATTTATTAATTAATTTAAACAATTTTTATCACATTCAAAATGTATTGAAAAATAACATTTAATATTTTTCCTAAATAGTTTACATCTCAGAGAGGTCACACAAAAATTTTCATAATTTTTGGAGCTCTAATTAATTCTACACAAAATAAACAAAACCTTATACTATTCATTAATTTCTGAAAAAGAAAAAATTCTATTTCTAAATCAAATCGTCACTGACAGCGGGGTCCCACATGTCGGCACAGTACCTCGCGCTGACCACGGCGGTGAGGCTTGCTGACCGGCGATCTCTCACCGACGGTGAGGTCACTGGCCACGGCGAAGGTACCAGCGTGATCCCTACGACAAGGCGCACCTATTGGTGGCACTAATTGCACCAATCGCTGCTCAAACCGAGCTCGACGCCAGCCATGGCAGCTCGGCCGAGCTGTGCACGGCGGCGCCGTGGCATTCAAGCTGCTAGAGCTCGTTAGAGCTCCTACAACTACTCGAATAGCATCAACGGCTCACCTAGTTCGTGCTAGAGCGTTCGGCTGACGGTGAGCAGCAAAGGTTGCGTCTGGCGGCGTTGATGGCGACGGTGGCAACAGCAAGCACGACTTTCGGTGACTGCAGTGGACGAACGGATCAATCAACAAGGCACAGAGCATCACGGCAACATGGAGAAGCTAAAGGTATGCTTAGCAAGGGCAGGGACGGACCGTAGAGCGCTGGCCACGGTGAAGCAAGGTCGTCGGTGATGCGGCCGGCCGCGAGGAAGAAAGGCAACGCGCAGTGTTTCTCGATGGAGTCAGGCTTCAAGGACTGGTTGGCTGGGTTCGCAACGAGTAGGTGGAGCTGTGACAGGCTTTGCTGCGACTGGGAAGGCGCTACGGCGACGGCACGAGCTCGACGGAAAAAACAGAGGAAGAAAGCGGAGGAGAACGGCGACAGCGTCTCGGCTTTATAGCACGGCCAAGGACACGGAGACGACGCGCATCAGCTTCTCCATGCCAGCGCGAAGCCAAAGGCAGCCACGGGCGCGACTGGAACGCGGTGGAAGATCACCGACGGTGAGGTGTCGGTCTGCGGCACCGTTCACTATATTTACCGAATTGCTACTCGCCTAATTCCTCAAATTACTCCCAAAATTGTATGGTAACTCAAAAATCTCCAAAAATAAAAGTTGTTTTAAATTTAAAGTTCTACAACTTTGCTTTAATAACCATACTCTAATTCAGTCTACATTTTAAAATGCAAGTTTTAAATCAAAAGGGGACACTTTAATAATTTATCCCTTTTCAAAATACTTAAAATTTATAAAACAATTTTGAAAACTCTAAAAATCAACTTTGTACACATTGACAAGCTCTACACTTTCTCTTTTAGGCTCAAACCCAAAATGTGCTTAGATTTTGAATTAGGTTTTCCAGGGTAGAATTAAATGCTGAAAATTAGGGTTTTCGGAAATCCAATTCAACACAAATGTTTTGAAATTGATTCATTTCATACAAGTCAACACATATAACATAAAAATAAACTTATTTTAGTGAATGCATCTCAAAGTTTTCACTAACACCCAAAATGATGTGCATTGCATATGATGACATGGCATGTTTTAGTGTTTAAAACACCAGAGGTGTTACAAGTGTCACATCTGATATATCTAAAAGAAAAAAATAAAGACCGCTAAAAATCGATGGACAACGAGACACCAAACAATCTCTAAAAAATAGGCGTGGCTAGCGCCTCGGACATTCGAACGGATGCGCGCGTCCCGACGCCTCGCTCCGACTCAACACGCGCACCCTGCCCTCGACGCTGCACCCGCCGCTCCTTGCATCCAGACGGCCGCACAGCCCGCCTCGCCCACCTCGCACGCGCACCCCTTCCCCAGCGCTGCGTCCCGCTCCTTCCCTTAACCCCTTCTCTCTCCACGTGGGCGGGACTCGGGATCTAGCCCCCAGCTCGCTGTGTCCCTGTCCGCCGGCCCCTAGCTCGTCGCGCACCATCCCTCGGCGCCTAGGTCGTGCGCCCATCACTCACCGTGACCTGTTAAACTGCTAATCATCATATATGTGTGAAACATATGCAACATTCTGATAAAACATTTACAACATGTGTGTGAAACATATGCAACGTCCAGATAAAAACACATGCAACCTGTGTGTGAAACATATACAACATCTAGATAAAACACTTGCAACATATGTGTGAAAAATATGCAATATCCATAAAAACATTTATTATAACATACGTCTGAAACAGATAAAATATTTTGAACAAACGCTTGCAACGTACTTCTGACAACACTTACAAAATATACAACACGTATAGCATCCCGATACTTTTGCAACATCCATATGTAACAATTTGCAACATACCTCTGAAACACTTGAAGCATACATTTGCAACATAGCAGAGGAGAAGCCCGGGGCCAGTCGATTCTAGTGGTTGGGGTAGGACCCGGCGGTGAACGACGGAGCGCGAGCACCACTAGCACCAGCACCAGCAGCGGTGCGTCACCACCACCACCGCCGCCATCACCGGCCTTGCCTCGGTCGGACGAGCGGCGCGCGCTACGGGATAGAGCGGGCGGCGCGACATATGGCCGAAGCGAGGAACAAGGTGCGGGTGGCACGCGACAGGCGGGAGAAAGGAATGAGGAGTGAGCGGCGTAGGTAGGGCGTGCGACGGGCGGAGCAAGCAAGCTGCGCAGGGTAGGCCCGCGGTAGGAGAAGGCCATAGCAGCGAGCGGAGTGAGGCACGCGGCGTCCAGATGGGACGGACGCCACTGGTCAAGCATTACCGTAAAAAATATAAAAGTACATCAACCAAATCAGTAGTTTTCTTCCTTCGATCATCCTTGCAGGCTTGCAGTCTTGGGCCTCGTTCGCTTCGCTGAAAAAATAAGTTAAAATACTGTTCTGGCTAATTTGTTGTGAGAGAAAAATACTATTTTCGCGGAAAAAACCAGGTGAAATGGACGGATTACGTGAGAAGCGAAGAGGGGCTCGGTGTTCAGATGAGATCGGTGACGTATATTTGTCAACGTCATCGCCAACTCTCCTGTGAAAAAAAAAATCGCCAACTCTAGCGGAGTAGCGATACACAGAGGTCAGTCACACGTATAGTTGACGGTTATCCACGTAATCGTTTTTTATAAAAAAAATTTGGAAAAAAAAGTCGCCTCTCGAATTCCCGGATTCCCCATTTCGGCATCCGCATCTCCCATGGCGGCGTCGCCCGCCCTCCTCTCGCTGACTCCCGCCGTCTCCAGGCACCCCCACCTCCTTTTCTCTCCTTGCTCCCCGCGGCGCCACGTCCGCCTCGCCCCTCTAGCCGCCACCCCCTCCTCCCCGGGCGGAACCGGCCCTGGTGGTCCCGGCGTCTTCCTGTCGCCGCGCGCGCTCTCGCAGCTCGACGAGCTCGCGGCCTTCCGCTACGAGCACGCCTTCCCGCACGGCCTCCTCACCGTGCGCGCCCTCAGGCGCGGGCCCGACGACGACGCCGTGGCCGAGGCGCTCGTCCGCCTCCTCGCCTCCTCCTTCTCCGAGACCGTGCGGTGGGCCCCGGCGCAGCGGTACGCGCAGCTCCTCACGTTCGTCATCCGCAGGTACCTCCACGACCGCCGCGGGCTCGCGCCGCACGCCGCGGTGCTTGTGGGGTTCTACCGCCCCGCCGACGCCGACGACGACGACGACGGCGCCGCCTCTGAGGACGGCCGGGATGATGAGGGCGGCGAGGAGGAGGGTGAAGATGAAGGGGAGATGGCGTGCACCGCGGAGGTGTCGTTTGACGCGGTGGGCGCGCCCGGGGGCCCGCCCACGCCCACTCCGCCGCTCGACTTCCCCTACATCTGCAACATGACTGTGAAGACGCCACTGAGAAGGTAATGGAGTATGCTCTGGGTCGAGCAACCACTTTGACTATCTCTTGTAGAGAATAAGTTTGATGCAAGAGTTGATTGCAAATGTTGCATCCTTGTAAGTTGTAAGATGCAGTGGGGAGAAACCTTCTCGTCACATCCGTAATAAAAGCAATTTGTGTTTAGATGAAGGAACAGTCACCATTAAGACGATCTGTTCAGTCACTGTTGGTTCAATGCATATCAACTATCAAGTAGTTTATTCTATGTATTATGTTTGAAATATGTCGATTGTAATGCTTCAAAATTTGCCTTGCTTTTGAACTAACAGGAGAGGAATTGGAAAACAACTTCTTAAGGCATGCGAGGATCTGGTTTTCAAGATGAATGCCAGAAGACGTGTGTATCTTCATTGTAGAATAATCGACCAAGTCCCATTCAACATGTACAGGAAAGCTGGATATATTATTGTCCAGACTGACAGTATTTTGGTCTGGCTGAGCCTTCAAAAGCGGAAGTACTTGATGAGCAAGGAATTACCCCAAGCTTCTGTTGTTAGTGAGACTTCAACCAAAAACTTTGATGATAATATCTGACAAACTGAATGTGTCACAGGACTAACAGGTACACATAAGGTTGATTTTTGTGTATTAAGGGATTCTGTTTACCACACATTTCCACTATTGTATAGCTTGTGATGAAATGAACTTCCATTCATAATTGTTAATTGGCCATTGCAAGATGTTTTAACTGAAAATGAGTTGGTAGTGCTTTTAACCCATACGGCCAGTAATCAGAAATGGATTCTGCTTCCACATGCAACTCACTAATTGGATGTTTATGATTTAACTTATGTTGCTGTTTTATGTGTGAATTGGATGAATTTTCTGTTGATTCTGTTGTATGTGAATTGAATCTAATATCATTCAAATTTGGACCAAAATGTATAGAAAATTACATCAAATTTGAATGTGTTGGGGCCTGCTTACTAATGTCGGCTGGTGGATAAAAACGACAGTACAGAACTGAATTTAGACTGTCAGTCAAATAGAACTGTTGATGCAAATGGCATTTATACCGTTAGTTATGTGATAACCAACAACGGAAATGAACTTTGTATTGCTGGAGTTCTATGAGAACCCACATCCCACGATACATATAAGGATGGTACCGTTAGTTTTCTCTCTCTAGAACCTATGGTACAAATGTGTTTTCAGAGTCGACTAGGGAACTGACAGTAATATAGGCCATTTCTACTTATGCTTGTGGATCGTCGATTGTAAATCTGCCAGTGCAAGCCCTTTCGAACCGTTGGTACATGCTCTTATTGTAGTAGTGCATATCCGATATTTTCTCCTGATAATTGTGATTTACTCAGTTCTCGAGATTTATGTCACTGTTTCATCCCAGCCCCAGGTTTTGTGCCCGGTGGTCTTAAAGAGGGAATAGAGAACAAACTAGATCCATTCCACTCTGTTCCTTCTCATGAAACCTTTGTGCGCCACTATTCATCTTCCTCCACTACATAATGTATCCATTTGGTTGCTATGATAACAAAAATAGATGAGTTATAACAGTGTTGCTTGCCTATCAGATCCTAGATTTCTTCTCATTTTCTTTCCATTCTCAGACTTAGATTTTAATTCAATATTGTTAGATTGTTCGAATAATTTCTAAATATGTATTGTTTGTTTATGATTTAGATTTTGGGTCTTACCACCTGGTGCAAGCGGTAGAGTCTTACCGCCTGTGACCGGAAGGTCCCGGGTTCGAGTCGCGGTCTCCTCGCATTGCACAGGCGAGGGTAAGGCTTGCCACTAACACCCTTCCCCAGACCCCGCACAGAGCGGGAGCTCTCTGCACTGGGTACGTCCTTTTTAGATTTTGGGTGTGGTATTGTCGGTCCAAGGATTCTCTGACATTAACTTACATTGTAGTGATACTCTGTTTCTCAAATAAATAGGAGTGTGCACTGCAAAGATGTGTATATGAGGTTCACTATTCACTGTTTGTAGGCTAGCACAAAGGAAAAACCATGGTCCCAGTAACATCAACACCACACTAGAAGATCATGGCTATCAAAGTAATATTTCAAATCATGGCCTTTTCTTTAGTTTTTACCTTGTTTACATCATATCATATTTGGGGTGAGGGTGATTGTTACAATAAAGAATTAGTAAATATTAAATGCGGAGAAACCATCCAAATTGGTAGCCCTTGTGTCCATCCAAGCAACGAATATTGTCATGCTGTGCAAGTATCTAACATGGTTTTCATTTTGCCGCATCCTTCCAATTGCAGATCTGACCAGGATAATAGTGTGGTGTTGATGTTAAAATAGGAAACCTTTTGGGACCTTGAATTAGGAAAAGCCTTAAACTAATTTGACCAGCCAATGCACTTCTTTTCATTGCTTTTGCATCATTGATTTTGCAAGTCTTACTCATATTTCTTAAGCACAGAAAGTAATAGCTCATTCCACATATCTATTGGTCCTGGCAAACACCAATGGGAACAGTCACTATAACCCCTCATCCACTTGTTATTCCAATGGATCCCTGGATGTGCATCAGGTCTCATGGACATAGCTTTGGTTATATCTAAAACCTCTATATTCATCCGTCTGCTTGTGGCTGTTTTCGTTCTGTGCTCTGATAGCTTCCTCAACCTGCACATTTCTTATTGCCCATTCTACTGTTGTTGTCATTGCTTCTCCTCCCATCGGTTCTGTTCTATTGCAATATCCTCCAGTATTCCAGAAGCCATTTTCAAAATGTGCTGGTGTTGCTGTTCTTACTAATGTTAACTGTAATCCACATTCTTGGCAGTTGCTCAAGTTATTGAGGGTCGTCCTAAGCGCCCTCTGAATAGCTGTAGTGGCATCGAAGCTTGTGATGTTATCCTCTGAGCAGTATATGCATCCAGTGAGTTTCCCACCTTCATACAGATATTTTTTCCTGAAGAACCATCGGGAACTTGATATGACTAAGATATTGATCTCAGGCAAGTTTACAGCTAATCTTGCATCAAGTTTGTCCAGGTGTATGTCATGCATTTCAACTACTGTGCCATTGATCTTGTTGGCGATGGATCACCAGATCACAGGTAATTAGGAGGATAACTTGGTCTGTGGCCTTCTATTGAATTGCAAAAACAAAGCAGTTGAAATTGTACAAGTGGTTCCCCCCCCATGTGCTCTTATAGGCCAGGGGTTTATCCTAGGGAATATTCTAACTACCTAATGGTAGATGCTTTAGGAAACTTGGCTGCCAAGGTGTTTATCAACTTCACCACCAAGGCAAGCCCTACCAACCACATTAGGACTAAAATGTAAATGCTGGAAAACATGAACACTAGGCTAACTACTGACAATTCTCCCCTTTAGCCTTGTGGTCCTTGGAAATGATCTGCTTGAGCCCAATTCTTGCCCTCATCTCTTCAAATTTTGATCTTCCAAGAGACTTGGTTAGAATGTCAGCCAGCTGATCAGTGGTGGATATGTGATCAGCCCTGATACTTCCATCTTCCAAGCAGTTTCTGATGAAGTGATACTTGATTCTGATGTGCTTACTGCGCTCATGAAAGACTGGATTCTTGGCTAGAGCAAGTGCGGACTTGCTATCAACTTTCAGTTCAACCACTTCCACATTCCTTCCAAGGAGGTCTCGCCACTGACTGGATAACCAAATAGCTTGTGTTGCGGTACCGTGATAGTGGCAATGTACTCGACTTCACAACTAGATAGAGCCACCACCTTCTTTCTTCACCGACCGCCAAAGACATAAGATTGCTTCCCAGAAAGAACAGGTGCCACTAGTGCTCTTGCTTTGGTGTCAATGTCCCCACCAAGTCACTTTCATCGCATGATACCAACAAACCTTGCTCTCCTGGAGCCTTAGTGTAGTGCAGAGCCAAACTCCAGTACCACCACATATCTCGGGATGCGCTTGATGGCGGCTTGGTGCTCTGCGGTCGGCGGCGTCTCCATGAATCGACCGACAAAGCCTCACCGAGAAGGCTAAGTCGGTCTTGTGTGGACCAAGTAGCGCAAGCTGCCCACCAATCTTCTCATTGGGTAGGATCAACTTGCTGCACCGTGCTCTCTGCTGCTCTCAACCTCACCGCTCCTCCATTAGTGTATGGGCGGGGTTGCGAGCATCCATACCTCCTAGCTCAAGGATCCTCTTGGCATAATGGGTTTGCCTCGAGTGATCCTAGTTTGGATCTTGGTGTACTTGACCCCGGTGTAGAAGGACGAGGCCGAGGTCGCTCATGTCGAAAACCTTCTTCATCTCGAGCCTTGAAACCTTCTATGGCTTGAGCGGCTGCACCGGTGATGATCAAGTCGTCAACATAGACGCCGATCATCGGCAGCCTCCTCTGTTCTCGCTTTGTATATCGCGGCGGCTTCATGGTCGCTTTCTTTGAAACCCATCTCCTTGAGGGTGGCGTCCGACTTGCGTTCAAGCTCATGAGCTGCGTAGAGCCATACAAAGCCTTGTGTAGACGGTACACCAACTTCTCCTTCCCATGACGGGTGAAGCTGTGTGGTCGCTTCATGTACACCTCCTCCTTGAGGTCGCCGTTGAGGAAGGCCGATTTAACGTCCATGTGGTGGACACGCCATCCTTCTTGGGCCGCCAGCGCGATGCGTGCCACGGGAGCAAACGCGTCGTTGAAGTCGATCCCTTCCTGCTGGACGAAACCCCGCGCCACCAAGCGCTCCTTGTACTTGGTCACCGCGCCCCGCTCGTCCTTCTTGAGCTTGTAGACCCACTTGGTGTGATGGGCGGTGGCCGGAGAGAAGCTCCCACGTGCGGTTACGCTTTCAACCGCCTTGATCTCTGCTCCATGGCGGCTCGCCAGTAAGATCGCCTTCCTCCTCCGCGAAGTTAACGGGGCTCGCCCGGCGTGCGTGAGGTGAAACTCGGCGAAGAGACGTGAAGCCGGGCGGGCGGTGTGGGCGCGTCCCGATGATGTTGGGCATGGTACGGTACCGCATGGTGCTTTCGCCGTCGTAGAAAGCGTCAAAGCGATCATCGCTGCGTCCTCGGCGGTGACGCGAACTCAACTGGTCCGCTTTGCTTTCGGTCTCGCCTTTGGTGAAGCGAGAGAGGTCGGTGGATCGTGCTCCCCGAGCTGGTGACGGCGTCTTGCGGCGGAGCTCCGTCTGCGTCGACTCGACCGAACTTCGATGTCGGTCATCGCTGGAGGCGAGCGAACTTCCGGCGGCCGGTTGGACCAATCCCACCGCGCCCTTCATCAAACACCACGTCGCGGCTCACCTTGACGCGCGTCCGTCGCGGATCGAGGACCCGGTAGGCCTTGGCGCCCTCGGCGTAGCCGATGAAGACCCACCTTTGTTGCATGTCGTCCGAGCTTCTTGCACGCGTTGCCGAAACTCCCTTGTGTAGGCGACGCAAATAAATGTACGCAGATAGCTCACCGCCGGCGCTCGTCCGTGCCAGGCCTCATAGGGGGTCTTGCCTTGCAAGCTTCTTGTCGGCGCGAGGTTGAGCAGATGCACCGCCGTCATCACCGCCTCCCCCCAGAATTTGGCCGGCATGGACCTCTGCTTCAGGCGCGCGTCAAGGTCGCCCACGACCATCTCGATTTCGCCGCTCCACCACACCGCTTACATTGCGGTGAGTGTGGTGCGAGTAGTGCCGCTTGACTCCTTCGGCGGCGAAGTACTGCGCCAACTCGCCGACGGTGAACTCTCCTCCATTGTCGGTCCGCAGCACCTTGAGCTCACGGCCGGTCTCCTTCTCTGCTCCGGCCTTCACCCGCTTCACGGCATCGCGCGGACATCCTTGGTCGGCGAGCTTACCGCCCACATGAAGCGGGTGGCGTCGTCCACCATCGCCAAGAAGTAGCGCGCGCTCCTCGGCGTCGCCGGCGTCACCGCCCGCACAAGTCGCCGTGGGCGAGGTCCAGGCGCTACTTGGCAGCGATCAAGCGCTGTATTGCGAAACGGCTTGCGGAGGAGCTTGGTGGTGACGCAGTGTCGCAGACTTGCTCGCATGCTTGATCACCGGCATCCCCCTCACCATCTCCTGCTTGCCGAGCTGGTGCAGCGCCTCGAAGCTGAGATGCCCGTAGCGCTCATGCCACCTCCACGACTCGTCCTCCTTTCTGGCGGCAAGACACACCGGCTGCGCGGCCTCCAAGTGCAGGATGTACAGCCGACTGGGTCCGCGATGTACCTTGGCGAGAAGACGACCACGCCGGTCCTAGATACGGAGCACTCCATGATCAATCTCCACCCTGGAGCCTCCTTCGTCGAGCTGCCCCAAACTCATAATCGAGTTCCGGAGCGCTGGGATGTAGAAGACGCCATGGAGGACGAGCTGCTCCCCGTTCTTGGCCTGGAAGACGATGGAGCCGGTCCCCTTGATCTCCACTCGAGACGAGTCGCCGAAACGCACCGTGCCGTGCGCCGTGGTGTTGAGCTCGGTGAAGAGCTCCCGGCGGCCGGTCATGTGATGCATGGCCCCGCTGTCGAGGTACCAGCCGTCGAGCGCCTCCTCGTTGGCGCTGGTGTTGAGGAAGACACGCGCGCGCGGCTCGTTGATGTCGAGGGAAGCCGTGGCCTTGGAGCAGACGGCTTCGGCCTTCTCGTTGAGCTCGAGGAAGCCGTGGGCGAGGAACAGAGCACCATCATCGCCCTCCTCGCTTTTCTCGGCGTCGCGCGCGACACCGCCACGCCCACCACCGCACCGTCCACCTCGATCACCTCCAACGCGGTTGCCTCCTCCGCCTTGGTTGCCACCGCCGCCGCCGCGGTCACCACCACCACGGCGCGGCTGGCGGCAGTCGCGCGCCCAGTGGCCGCGATCACCACAGTTGAGGCAGGTGTCGTCGTCCGCCCCGCGATCGTCGCCACCGCCTCTGTCTCCTCCGCCGCGATTGCCCTTCCCGCGCTGCTTCTTGCCGCCGCGTGGACGACGTCGTGGTTCCTTGCACGACGCGAAGCGGCGGCCTCCTCCTCTCTCCTGGCACGCCATCGCCTCCCTTGTCGGCCAGCAGAGACCGCCGATGGCGGCGGTTCCACGCGCCAAGGCACCTCCATGTCGTCCACCGTCTTCAAACGCCCAGACACCTCGATGGTGAGGTCCTGGAAGTCGAGAAGCATCTCGATGGCGATCCGGAGCTGGACGTACTTCGGCGGCACGGCGCGCAGGAGCCTCTCCACCGCGCGTTCTTCATCGATGTCGTTGTCGCCGTGGAGAAGAAGCTGCTGCTTCAGGGCCATCAAGCGAAGAGTGAAGTCCTCGATCTGCTCACCCGGACGGGAGGCGAGCTTCTCCCAGTCGCTGCGGAGTCGCTGGAGCGTGGCGCGGCGCACCCGATCGACGCCGATCGACGCCGATCCGCGCGGCGGCGATGGAGTCCCAGGCCTCCTTGGCCGATCCCTTCTCGGACAGCGGCATCTGCATCTCCTGCGGCACGGCGGCGATGATCGCCTCCACCGTGCGCCTGTCCTCATGGTACGGCAGGTCCTGGTACTCGATCGCGTCCCAGAGTTGCCGCGCCTGGAGCTTCATCTTCATGATCGAGGCCCATTCATGGTAATTTGACTTGGTGAGCATCGGCCAGGTGGAGCTTGAGCCAGAATCCTTGTATACGGTCTGGATCACCGGCGAGTGGCCCCTGGCCCATCCGCGGCGGCGATCCTGATCCCGATTGGGCGACCGCGTCTGCCTGCGCTCGCGCTCCGGGCTCCTCCGCGGAAGCGGGCGGCGATCGCGCGGCGGATCCTCCTCCACCAACTCTCGACGCAGAGCCGCGGCCGTGGCGGCCGCGTTCCGAGCTGCTGCTGCGGCGGCCTCCGCGGCCTGCTGCGCCTGCGTGGCTGCGGCCTCTGCCGCGGCTAGACGCTGCGCACGCTGCTCGGCGGCGGCTGCTGCTCTCTCTGCGGAGGTGGCCATGCCTCTCCCTTTCTCTCAACCCCGATCTTTGATGCCAATTGTTGGCGATGGATCACCAGATCACAGGTAATTAGGAGGATAACTTGGCCTGTGGCCTTCTATTGAATTGCAAAAACAAAGCAGTTGAAATTGTACAAGTGGTTCCCCCATGTGCTCTTATAGGCCAGGGGTTTATCCTAGGGAATATTCTAACTACCTAATGGTAGATGCTTTAGGAAACTTGGCTGCCAAGGTGTTTATCAACTTCACCACCAAGGCAAGCCCTACCAACCACATTAGGACTAAAATGTAAATGCTGGAAAACATGAACACTAGGCTAACTACTGACAGATCTCTCTTTCTGATGCTTCTACTAGAAATTTGGTCCACAGTGCCATGAGTGTAAAATTGTGGGATCTAAAGTGCCAAGTGACAAATTTATCTTTAGTGTCACTATAAACTTTGGTTGGAGTTTCCACCTGCAACATTTTGTAGGGTTTGTGTCAGGTTATCATGTCACAATTTCACACCAACAGGGGAAAAAGTTTATTAGAGGTGCAAAGTTAAATAAAGTAGAATTGCAATGATAATTCATTTCATATTTTCATATTTAGACTAATATTTGGTTCAAATTACTCCCCCAACTATTTCAGTAGGTCCAATTTACCCTTTAACAAGATTTTTTTTCTCCACATACAATTTGGCTTTGAATTTCAATTTTTGTGAGGTTATAGCGGGCATCATAATTTGTGTTCAAAATACACTATGGATTTTTCATCGTTATGTTTCATACAGTTTTTTATTTATGATGTTAATTTATTATTAGATGTCCCAATCTATCAAAATAACGATGTATATTTTAACATTAATTATGATGTCAGTTATTATTTAACTCACAAAATTTGAAATTATTAGATATAGAAGAACTGATAATCACTGTTCTATTGCTGTAAGGTAAGCTAGCTTATTATTGTTCCTACCCTGAATCCATGACACCATGGAAGCTAACGTCATGCGATTTTAGATTATCACATAGACAAATCAAGCCTTGAGCCACTTTGGCCTATTGTAGCCTCTAGATCACTCGACCATATGAATCTGGCTATGTAAAGATCAGACGATATTAGGATATCACCTAATTGACATGATATAACTGAATATTAATCCAAATTGACTTGTGCTCATATCCTTGATGCAAAGAAATTCAGCACGGGAAACTTTCTAGAACACTGGGTCTACTCTATACTATGCCAATCTGTCGCTGGTGATTAATGGTATATCGCTACATGTCATTAGTATCTCACAGAGCTAAAACGCAGGTTGCTCACCTGAGACAGTAAGCAAAGTAGTGATTCCATCTGGTTCCGTCCAATTGAATCTGCAGCGAACGCCAGTGTCTTCCCTCGGACAATATTCAAGAACAGCTGAGGTTCAAACCCTACCATGTCACAACCATGTAACATCCACTTCCAGTTTACATAATCCATTTGCTTCCCATATTTCCCACAGTTTCTTGACTCTGGCATCGTAGGGCATGTTATGTTCGTGTAAAGTGGACCTCTGAAATCTCTGACCCATGTGCCGTTGAAAGGATTGCAGGCTTTGTCTTCATGACCTATAGAAAAGATCAAAATCCTATGATATTTCTTGGGTAGAGCTCTTTTGAAACTATTAGGAAATGTTAGCGGTCGCCAATCTTTGTTTACTGATAAGTGACAGTTGAATTGTATCGAGATGCATTCAAATTTTCGGAGGCAAAGGGGTCTCTTTTTCTTTGTTTATTTTTGTTTTTACTTATGTTTTTATAAGGTTTTGAAATGTTCTTTTTGGCACTCTCCCCATTTTCATAAACTAATCTGGCATGCAGACCATTATAAGATCCACTATATACAGATTATCTGAAAGCTGAAGAAGTCATTTGAATATGCAGAGACAGGTGGGTTTGATATGCTTTTCAAATCGCAGGCTTGCTAAACTTGCTGTCTACGCTTTTGATAGAAATCAAACTTGACTTGCTTTAGAGCATCGATCTTATCCTATGCTGCAGGCTGCAGCTAATTTTATATTCGAAATGGAAAAAAAAAAAGAACCGGTAAATTTCGGGAAAAAAGGAAGTCTCACTTGGAGCTCAAGTACTCTAGAAATCAGCTGGCTAGCTAAGAATGTAACACTTGTAGCAATGATGCATGATGAAAGAGCAGATAAATTTATGCTAGTGAGTAGAGGCGTACCAGTCTTCATCTCCAGAGGAGAGATATGAGTTGGCATAGGAGAGCGGTACAAAGTCGCAGGATGATGTGTAGGGAGAAGGACGAATAACACTGTGGTGACCATCACTGCTAGTGCTACTGTTCTTCCACAAGGAAATACATGGGTAGGTCTTCTGGTGTGGTTTCGGCCATGGAGATCCGGAGGTGCTACGCTTTCCTTAGCCATGGCCGTGGGTAAGGCGGCCCTAAGTTGATGGTAAAGAAGCCACCATCTTCATCATATATATTCTATAGCTTGCTGGGAGCCATTGATGACTCTAGACAAATGTGCATTTCTTCACTTGTTTTCTTTCAGCCTGTTCGTTGGTTGATTTCTGGGCTGATAAGCCCGGCTGGTGCTGGTTTGTTGTGAGAGAAAAACACTGTTGACTGTCTGATAAGCCATGGCTGAAATCAAGCGAACAGGTTGTTTGTTCGTGATAAAGAAGTCATTGCAAGCCTACTGGGACTGGGCGCCATTGATGCCCCTGGAGCTCAAGTTCCATGAGGGCAAGCAATGCTTGCATAGACGAATGTGCATTTTTCTTCATTATTTTCTTTGTTCGTATTGTTGGTCCTACCTTTTTTTTTCTCCTAGGAATCAAGGGAGCGGGGTGCTTCACCAAGTTCAATGGTTATGATGGTAAACGGTGGGTCACTGGGAATCGTTAATCAAAGTATGTGACGTTTTATAGTTGTGTTATGCCTTGATGTTTTCAATCTACATAAGGCCTTGTTCGGAGGTATGTGTATTCACTTCAATTCACATGTGTTGGAGACTTGAAGTGGATTGGAATGTAACTTAGTTTAATTCTACTCCAATCCACTTCAACGCGTATGGATTGAGATAAATACATGTGTATCCAAACAAAGCTCATGTGTATTCACTTCAATCTATATGTGTTGGAGTGGATTGAAATGAAACTTAATTTAATTCTACTACGGTCCTCTTCAACACATATGGATTGAGATGAGTGCATCCGTATCGTAGGCCTAAGGTGGGTGGACGCATCTGAATTTTCTCAGCAACAGTGAAATCAATCAGACGCTCAGTACGAGTTTCTCTTGAAAAGTCAAAGCTGAGAGTGCATCGGCGTGTAGAGTTGTCAGATTTAACCCTAAAATTGCTTTCGACGAACTATGCCGTGCTCTATGTTCTGTTGTGAATTGTGATGCTTATTTCATTTCGTCATATAAGGTTTTGAGGGAACTATCATTTATTTCTTGAATGTGGCCATGCTTTCCCAAACTACAGTTGTCAAAGTGTCAAACGTGGCTCTCTGTTTCTGAATAGTAGGATCGAATTTTCTTTTTCACGCATAATATGGTAGTATGGTACTCGGCCCTGGCTGAACAACAGTCCCGAGCATGGACCCTATTGAGCTTGACCAGTTGGTCATCGGCGTCGCCTCCGATGACACATACGGCGCAGATTCTTTATTACTACTGGTGCCTAACCTGGATGCAAATAACAGTTCAATTAAAGCCCAGTTCATTGACAAATGAGTTATATAGCTGCCGGATTTTTTTTTCTCTGTGCAGTTTATCTTTTTTATCATAACTTTTACGTATAAGCTTGGATAAAGATAAAAAAAATTGAAGATGTGCTATATGTAACGGCGTAAATAAATTGCCTCCAATAATCAACTCGCTAGTGTTGCTATGTAACGGTGTTGCATTTCACTAGTGTTGACACTAACAAAGAAAATCGGATATCCTATTTTAAACATAGGATAATCTGAATAGAATTTGTGGATAATCCATATCTACCGAATTTTTTCTATTCCATATCCTATCCCGCATTTGCACATATTTGAATTCGAATTATCTGTATCTGTATGGATATTAAAGTTCTTCTCTATATCCTCAAAATTTGGATTTGGATCGGATTGAAGAATGATCCACATCACTTTGATTTTTTGATACTCAACCAGAATTTAGGGCCTATATTATGAGACTCATGGTCAGCTAAATCGCGAGCAGCCAAAGTAGTTAGGCCAGTCTCAGTGGGGAGTTTTATTTCTCAGATTCCAAGACTCAATGCGTTGGCTTGGAAACAGTGTAGATTTATGCATTTATAAGTCGGTGCATGCCACTGCAAGAATGACATTTTTTCAATAATAAAGATTTATTAAAACCTAATTAAATCTTTATAAAATTCATACTAATTCATTACAGCTCAGAGAAATATGAAATTTTGTATATTTTTATTTTCTAAAGACAAGCTTTACCTTTACATAGTGAAGCTATGCTTGAATGTATTTGGATCTTTTGATTTTGTTGGAATTCATTTTTATGTGATATATATCTACTATTTTAAGGTTTTATTGTTGTCATAAGTCAAACCATTTTTAAGTTCATTCTATAAAAAACAATGTTAAGTTGACTAAAGTTTATGTTTTTATCCTCTTTTTTATATCACAATCATAAACACGTGCATGCTGCATATGCATGTCCACTGGTAGAGAGAAAATTCATACGCAAATTGCATATACTAAAGAGGTGGCCCCACTTATAGTTGACAATATTTTCGTTTAAAAACCATCTTAATACTGAAATAATTGATATAACATTATATCAATTTTTAGACACCAAAATGAATTTAAATGAAAAAGACATGAACTACAAAATTCTAGATTTTTGAGAGCTGTACAACTTTATATACATTTTATTTATTTTTTCGGTTGGCTCTTTTGTTCATCTCACTTCTGAACTGGGCGTTATTTGGGCCGAGCATCATAGCGGCCGACACACAGAAAGTTGTTTCCTTCCTCAGCTGTTGGATGTTAAATGGAAGGCATCAGAGAGGTGGAAAGTCACCCGTAACTTTACCACGGCAAGTCAGAGAATCTGCACCGGGCTGTGTACTTCTATAGCTTGTAGACGAAGGCCCGGCTAACAGCAGGCCAGCCCGCGTCGTAGTGTCTATCATCGTCAGCCTTGAACGGTAGCGTCCGGATGCCCTGTGCATGCTGCTACCGCGGACCATCTGCCCGCGCATGCCGTTGCGTCGTTTCTCTGTCGCACCTGCATGTCCGTCCCCAATCCGTCTCGCCTTGCCCTACACGCGTACCCCGCGCCCGTCCGTCTCACCCTGCCTTGCATGCACCCCTCGGCTGCATCCCACACCTTTCTCCTGACCCCCTCCTTTCTCTCTACGCGGTAGGACCCGGAAGCCCGGATGAGGACTACCACGTCTCATCCGTAGGACCCCAGGCGCACCGCCAGCTCCATCTGCCAGCCCCGGCACGTCGTGCCCCTTCCCCCAGCGTCCGAGTCGTGCCCCCACGACTCTTTGAACATACCATATACCTCTGAAACACGAAACACTTGCAACATGAAACACTTGAATGCAACATAAGTCTGAAGCAGATGAAACATTTGGAACATACACTTGCAACGTACGTGTCAAAACATATGCAACATCTAGATAAAACATTTGCAACATGAAAACACTTACTGCAACATATGAATGACACAACTGAAACAATTGGAACATACTATTGCAACATATGTGTGAAACATATGCAATATCCAAATTAAAACACTTGCAACATACGTCCGAAACAGATGAAATATTTTGAACAAACGCTTGCAACATGCCTCTGAAACACTTGCAGTATATGCAACATCCCAATCTACTTTTGCAACATCCATATTTTTTTGCGAGATGCAACATCCATATGAAACACTTGAAACATACCCATGAAACATCTGAAACACTTGAAACATACGTTTTCAACATGTGCTTTCAGCGCAACATCTCATTGCCGCTTGGGAATGGAGGTTCGTCGGCATGTGGAGTTCACCGGTGTAGAGCTCGCTACTCCGGTGGAGAAGGCCGTGGCAGATCCCATGGAGAAAGCTGCGGCGGATCCGCGTGCTGGAGAAGGCCGTGGCGGGCGGGAGGCACGGTAGAGAGGAAGACATGCTATGCTCTGGCGCGGAGGAGATGCCGGCAGGCGGAGCAGTGGCGTGATGGAGAGGGAGGCGCGGTGAAGAGAGAAGCACGGCGGAGAGCGCGGTGGCCGAGGCGGTGTGGCGGAGCTCGTTCGCGGCATTTCGGTGAGGTGAGTTTTTTTCTCTCTTTTTTAGAAAGGTTGGGGTGAGAGCAGGTGTATGAGCGGTCGTTGGGTTGCGTCGTGGCCCACTATCAGCACCGTTCGGACGGGCAGACGCTCTGTGTCCAGCGTTACTGAAACTTTAATTACTTACCAGCCTTCGACCGACGGAGTTTGACGTTTTCCGTTTGGGTGTCGTATGGGGATGAGCAGCCTACGCCCTACGCCCTACCAGGAGATGGCACGCTCGGCACTCAAGATGGCAACGGGTACGTACCCGATGGGTACTGGCCACCCGTACCCGCACCCGCCAGATCAAAATCTTACCCGTCGGGTTACCCGTACCCGTAGGCGGGTAGAAAATTCATTCCATACCCGCACCCGACAGGTAATTCTTACCCGACGGGTAATTCTTACCCGACAATATACTCGAGTTCACACACCAAAATATAATAGCTTCCAGTAAAACAAATCAACAATAGAGCAGCAAAACAGAAATATGGGCTGGTGGAGTGGAGTGAGGATGAGGATTAGGGTTTGTGGGAGTTCTGGAATATATATACTCATATGCTTATATGGGACAAATATGGCCTATATGCTTATATGGGCTAAAATTGCAGAGGTTGGATGTTATTTATGCGGGGTTTTTTTACCCGCGGGTATGCGGGTATGGGTAGTATACACCCACACTCGTACCCGCATACCCGATGGGTACAAGAATTCGTTCAATAACGTACCCGCGGGTGCAAAATGTCTTTCATACCCGCCTCCTTATCGGGTAAAACCCGTCGGGTACTCAGGTTTCAGGTACCCGTTGCCATCTTGACTCGGCACTCGCCCCTCGCCAGGCACCGGCAAATATCTCCTGAGAATATACAAACAACATTGGCCCATAACACTAAATTAAAAAATATGGGCCCATAAGCAAAACCGGCCCAACTCACGCGTTCTCTCGCTTTACTCGCGCTGGATGATTCTCAAAAAAATACTCGCTCTGGATGTCCTGGATGACGCACGCGCGAAACAGCACAAACGACAGGCGCTAATGACACTGGGCCCGTCTCTGGCCCCTAAGATTCCCTCCTTCCACGGGTCCACTGAGCTGACGGGATGTGGTGTGGGGTAC